AAGTAGATCATCAATTTATGCATGGACGTATTCTAGGTAGTGCATTAGTGTCCCATCTTCCTTTGGAAGAGTTCGGGACTATTGCAAAGCCCATATGCAACCTCTAGGTAACTCGTAACTTTCCCTTCACGGATTACGATAGTACAGAGTTGTTTCAGAGTGAGGTGATAACTCGATGTGATAGTATCCCTTCTTCACCCCCCCCTCTTTTTTAGTTTTTTTATTTTTTTTGCTCTAAGACTAGTAGCGTACTTGAATCCGTCTAGGCTTCAAAGCATGTCCTGTATTTTTGGATAGGATATAGGCTTTCCGTCTTAATCCTTTTGTTTGAGTTCCGAAATCAGAGATAGAATCGTATCGATACATCCTTTCTTGGGAATGATAAAGTTGGTGCACGCCAATTCGGATACGATCTAACCTTTTTGCAGTACTCCTGCTTCGCAGAGGCGTTCAACCTCCATCTTAAAAGAGTGTTGGATATGGACACACGTGGAGTAGGATAAGCCCTAGCGTGATAGGGTTTAGAATCAGGGAGAAGTTCTACTTAGTAGTCGTCCATCAGCCACTTTCCTAGAGTGCCACTTGCGAAAAGGTCGAGAGTACTTCGTCATAAGTAACGAAGCTGATTCCTGTATCTTCCTTATTTCGAACTGTTTTTTACTTTGGCAACTGACTTAATCAGTTGTTCGTATTAATCCATCAAAGAATCTTCTTGAACTAATCTGCACTGTTCATCACGAGCGCATTAGGATCAGGAATGAAAAAATTTTTCTTCTTCATTGTTGGTGTCTACAAATATCTTTCATTAGGCAATAGATATATGACCGTCCCACTCCATTGACATAGGTAGTAGAAATCGAACTTAAAATCCTAAAAGTCAAGGATGAGCATGTCTCGACTATTACATGTCATACGCCCCACAGCTCTTGGTGACAGTGTAAATCACCAATCGATAATTCTAATTCGTGGAATTAAGGAATCAATAAATGCACCCTTGCACTTACGTGCTGGGTTTCAATTCTTCATGCAGAGGTAGTCCTACATCGTTTGATGCCCCCAAGATTCTTCTTAGTAACTTCTTAGCATGAGTTTTGAGTAATAAGGTTCCCTCTGTATGCTTCTCTTATCGCCAGTAAGCAACGGACTTGTAACGGGTTTTGGTTTACCGTTTTCTCGCTTGATTAGAATCTAACATAGACGATAGTTTCAGATGTCTCTTGTCGTTTCGACGTTTATTGAAGGTGGTTAGGCCCACGGACGAGGTTAACGATGCTTAAATAGATCATCAGAGTCTATTGAGACAGCTTCTAGGCATCATTAATTTGCCGTAGAGCTCATTCGTTGCAAACAATCTTAGTTTGCTAGTTAGTGAGATATATTCATCACTTTGGTATGAGAAAATCGAACATGGTTCCGTTTGACAGTCATCAATTCCTGGCCTATATCCCATAAGTAGAGATTCTCTCAATCCAAGTGATTGAAATTGATAGAGGATTGTCCTCGTTATCAGAGTTTTCTGATTTGCTCTTGGCAACAGGTTGCGAAGTTTGCAAGGTGGTTTGACGAGTATCGTCGATCTTTCTGTGTTTCTTCGTATTTGTCGACGAGAGAAGAATGGGATTGTCACGTAACTTTTCTCGAAGTTGGTGAACGTATGTTTCCTTGATCCAATTTGCTATGGTGAAGGAATAGATTGAGGGTAGCTGAAAGTCATATTGGTGTTGTTAACAAAATGCACTACGCTAAAAGCTAGTGTAATAGATTCTCGAGTGTTTTGATTTGGAGAGAATGAAAGTTATTGAGAAAGAGATTAAGAAAGCTATGCTAAAATAATCTAATCGAGAGATAATCATCATCAATGGGATTGTTAATACTGGTTCCCGGAGAGACTAATATAAGGTGTGTAGAGTAGGTGCGGTAGTAGATCCTACGTACTCACTCTACGATCTAAACGCGAACGCAGTGGAAGTGTTAGTGTCTAAGCATAAAAAAGGATCTAGAGCGTGGAATACTCCACGCTGGCTAAATATCTAGAGCGATGTTTCATCATCACCTAGTATGACTAGAGCGGTCATTGAGAACTTGTCTCAATGACTTATTCACGAGAGAGCTCAGTCTGAGTCGAACTCAAAACCCTATCTAGGATCGAGTCGCAATAAGGCTAAGAGCCGTGTATTGCAGAAGTCACTAAATGTGTTAGTGATGCTTCTGCTGGAGCAGTTATCCACTGCGATCACAAACGAGTCCGAGTCATACTGGTGCTCTGTAGCCCTGGTTGTCGAGTGAGAGGTAGCTGCCAATGCTTCGATCACTGAGTGCAGCGCCGTGAATGCCCCTTCCCTTTGCATAATGCCTAACATATATAGTAAGGCACACATCATGAGCTGGATAGTCCTTTTAGTGCCTCGTTTCGGCTTTGCTATTGCACTATCTCTTGCGTTGCTCTTTTCCATCTTGCTCTGTCGATGTGGAGCCTCTGTTGTCGACTCAATGCCTTGGATAACTGAGCTCTGCTTCGCTCGTATGCGTATCCAATGTTGCTCGCTGCTTGCCTTGGAGCATTGATTACCCTCTTGTTGAATTGCCTCATGATTGTCCTGTACCGGAGCCTCTTGGGAACGTAAGCAGGCTTTCTGTGGCAATCGCGAATCCAGTGCCATGCCCCCCTAACCAATAGCGCCGACAGCGTCACTGGGAGCACGAAATCGTTCTCGCTAATCATGAGATAACTTGCAGGGTACATCACTTGTGCTGTGATAAAGATTGCGAACACGACTTGTGCCATCACGAACTTTGTCGCGGTCCAAAATGTCCTCATTGTTTCGTCAATTCCGTATGACCTCGCTTCTCTTGTCAGGCACAACACACTGTCTCCAGCGTATTGCATCGTCATTATGAGTAAGAGGGGAAAAGGAATTATGTTATTATTATTTAAAAGTTGTAGGTGGTGACAGAAGGCGACGTAACTCGTGGTAAGCCTTGCTAATGCAGTTAGTACTATACTTGTACAAAGAGCTATTATCATTCGCTTGAGGTCGCTTTCCTTCTGTTGCTCTTCTGAGCATCACTTCTTCCTTGGCACGTGGATGTCCTCATCTTCTATGAGGTCCGGCCACTCTTCTTCTTTCATCGACGCGAAGGCTTGGGCGATGCGAATGTCCCTCTTGGATGGTGTCCCTTCTTCACTGCCGCTGCTCGATTCGGTATCGTCCGTAGTGGCTGACATCGCCGTTGTTGAATCCTCGTTCTTAAGCCTGGCTCTGCAGTTGGTCAAATGGACAATTCCTTGCCGGTTAATCTTCAATACCCACTTAGTCGATCCATGATGGGGACAATAGATGTATTGCTTTCCTCGGAACTTCTTCTCGGTCGGCTCTCCTTCCTTCGGCTCTACCCCTTTCCATACCCATTCACCAGTGTTGTTGGGCCCTCTTCGATCCTTTTGTTGTTGTTTCTGCTTGTGGATCGGTTGTTGCGTCAGTTGTTTGCGCTGACGTTCGTCCATCATTTCCGTGGTCAGGGCAATGAAATCCAGTTCCTGTTGTGTTTTCTGTTTCCATTGTCGCTTGGACTTCAGGACATTGTACCTTTCAATCGCAAGTCGAATAAGATCCGTGTGTTTAAGGCCAGGTAGATTACCTTCTTCATATTGTTCTTCTTTGCGAGCAATGTACTGGGCAAACGTCCTATCTGCACACGTCTTATATGCCTTAAACAATGGCGCAATAAGGTTGGGCACGTCGCCTTGTCTGGATTTGAGAGACGCTACCAATGCATTCACGGTTCTGTTGAATGCTTGGATATCAGAGTCAGCATCCGACATGGCTTGGATTAAGCCTGCACTGGACAATAGGTCTAGAATGTTTGATTCAGTGGCTGTGGTATCGATGCAAACCATCTGTATTAGTTGGTACAGCATCATTGCTCCGTCGATCCTTTCCACTTCAGCAGTACCGCCTGTAGGCACTAGTTTTACTGTATATTTGTTCTCCCTTTGCTCTAGTTCATCATATACTTCGGGTTCAATGCTGTTGACTATAAGTGCCTCGAGCATTGATGCTGCCTGTCGTTTTCTGTTATCTAAACTCTGATAAGCAGCGGCATGGGCCGTCATTTGTGCCTCTGTAATGGATCCATACTGGGTGATGAGCGACTTGGTCTTGTTGTTGCCGATGGCTATGTCCGACAGGATGCTCATCATGCCATAGGTGGTTGAACGTTTCCTAATAAAACCAAGGAAGTGATGCAGCTTTTCAATAGTGCCATCATATTTCTCGTCGGCCGGCTTTGAGGCTGAGTTGAAATACTTCATTCCTTTGTCAGAGGTGAGATTCCATGCTTTGTCCGGGTCTCCGCCTCCTGGTACCACACTGAATCAATCTGTAGTGGTGGCTGTCGATACATGGGCCAAAGCTGCCTGCATAGCTTCTTGCATGATCGTCTTTAAGTCTGCTTGTGTGATGTTGATAGTCGTCATTGTTGCTGGATCTGGATTTGCTGTAGCTGGTTCCGCTATGGCTTCGTATCTCCGTCTCCTGCGCTGCTCTTGACTGACTCTATCTTCAGCACGACGTTGCACTCTTTCGGCTCAGTCGAGAGTTGCTCTTCTCGCCCTTTCTGCCAATCGATGTGCCTGATCGTCCGCTATCTTGACTATCTAAGTGGATAGTGGTTGGTTGTTTGACAATTCGTTGTTGTTCTTGAAATCTCGCATGCTACCATGAAGGATTATTGAATTGTGAGCTTAGTTTATCTAGTTTGTGTAGCCAAATACTGTTTATTACAGTTTGCTTTCTTCCTTTCTATGTACCAAGAGGTGGCCCTGTGCACTGCTATGCATGCTGCCTACTTAGATGATTAAGCAGGGTGGTCCACACTGGCAATAATCTCACAGCGACCTCAACTTCGCCAATGACCGTTGGTTATTCGGGAAGGGGGTTTACATACCGTATGCATACGGTAAAAGCAGCGGTACGGTAGCCACGGTAGGTTGGTAGTGGACTAGTCCGACTCCTGCTGTACCTATCGGTAACTGGGATACAAGATGCTTCCGGTGGCGCCAACTACAGAAACAGAAATAGCAAAAAGGCATGACAGTGGATTGCACAACCCTCCCAGCTACTGACATGGCTCCCTAGCAGTTTTCCTAGCTCCTTCCCCCGCCCTACTAGTTCCAGCCACGGTCCTGGTTGTACCTCCCCTGCTGGCCTGAGCCCAGCTAGCTAGTCAGTGACATCTCTATAGCATTTCTCCTGGGCAGCTACTTCCCCAGCTCAATGCCCAGTTTCATCCCAAATGCTCCTCCTGCTGAGAGCCTCAGCTATGCAGTTAGCATTACTGCTAGAGCTACCAAGCAACCCTCTTAGCCAGCGGAGGAGTCGGGTCGGTATGAGGAGTGGAGTTGGGTTACATCTGGCCGGCACCGCGTAATGGTATAATCTACCTTTTACTGTATGATGAGTACAGGACTGTCCGACGATTTTCACTCAGACTTTAAAACGACCACGACTGGTTCTCATTCTATTGGCATGTTTTAAGGGCATGTTTTAAGGGCATGTTTAAGGGCATGTTTCAGATTAAGGGCATGTTTCAAGGGCATATTTATATAAGGGCATGTTCATTCGTGATAAGGGCATGTTCTATGGTGTTTCAATGAAGGCTTAAGGGCATGTTTCGAGGCATTAAGGGTATGTTTTAAAGGCATGTTTATATAAGGGCATGTTTTTAAAAGGGCATGTTGAAGATTTAAGGGCATGTTTAAGGGCATGTTTCAAACGGTGCTCAGGTGTGGAAATTTCAATTTCTGTTTTAGAGCCTGAGTGAAAACCGTTGGACGGTCCGGTCCGGTATGGTTAGCCTGTAACCCTAAAACGAGGACCAACCATTGATTGATTGATTGACACACCAAACAACAAAATCCGCAACAGGCCAACTCCGTAGTTGGCGATCTACATCGTATGCTGGCTAGCTGTGGCTCAGCACTACCAGTATGCATCCATGCGTCATAAATGGTTGAGTGAAAACAAACTGGTACCTGTTGCCTGCTACCTACCCTGAATGATTGACCATCACTGCGCTCCTTGGCTTAGTTTGACTCAAAGTGCGGTAGACAAGCTCACCAGGAATATACCCCCGCATCGGCTTGTTGTCTGTCAGTATGGAAGCAGCTTGACTTACCAGTGTCACGAATCCTGCGATCCTACGCAATGGTGACTAAGCAAAACAATTGGGTTCAAGCAATACAGTCATTATTTTTATCTTGTTTCTTCGTCCTCCAAAGTCTTTTCTGTGGATAGAACCTTAGTTAGTACATGTAGCTAGCCCTCGCAATTTTACCAAAGTTTTTGCTTCCGATTTGATTGCTTTGTGTCGGGTAGTTCACAGCTTAGATCCTCAGCAACAAACCTAGTTGTTGAAACCTGGGACACCGAGAAGAGACACACACGAAAATCGTACCAGTTTCTGCGTAGATTCTTGCTACAAGGTTGAACAAGAAAGACTCGACTCTTTAGCTGCGATGCCGTGAACACGGTCCTCGGTTGCCAGCTGCAAGCCAGAAGTGGCCTTGCCAAATCCGACAGGTGCAAAAAGTCTTGAAGTGCATTGTGTGTAGATGTGTGCGGAGATGTGCGGGTGTGGAGGACGCGCTACTGGGGAGCGGCGGCGTGCCAAGAAGGTCTTGCCAAATGGGTCAGTCACACTTGGGAGGCCCCCCAGTTGTGCACGTCGCTCCCGCTCCAACTTCTGGTGGGATTGCTTTTTTGGTTGCCAATTCTTCGTTCGAGAATAACCTGATGGAACCACAATTCCAAACAACTAAGTTTGCAAAGACACATTTCAACAACAGACTTTGGCATCAGAATCAGAAATCATGAAGCTCGCAAAGACTTTCCTTCTATCTCTCCTTTCAGTATTTGTTCTCGGGCAATGTAAAGGCGCAGGCGTTCGAGCCCTTGCGGATGGAACTCCCAGTGCGTCCGCCAAGGACGCAGACAATCGTCGACGCCTCTTCGTGCCATTCTTCAGCCCCGTAACCATTAACGATATCATCGAACAATTCATTCCAACATTGAATGCCCTGATCCAGTCGACTCTCGCCTCAAACCTGGACAATGTCAACTTGGGCATTGACTTCTCGCAGTTCTTGGCTGGTCTGGATGTCGCCGTGAACTGCACAGCGGATGGAACGGTCCAGTACAACCTGGGTTCTCTCACTGGCTTGGGGAGCTTCCAAATTGAATCCCTTGAACTGGTTCCAGGAACAGAATCGTTGGAGCTGTCTTTCATGGGCCTCAGTGGCGCCTCCTGGTCTGGTACTTGGAACATCAAGGGGGTATTCGGCGAAGCAATTGGAGCAGTCTCAGAGGTTGTACTATCGGCGGACGCGTGTGGATTGCCACTGCAGGAAACAGCAAAAGGCATGACATCGGTGGCAAATCCAGGTATCGACATTCGAGTCTCCATGAACGGATCAAGCCCGAATCTGTGGTCCTTGGCTTCATCGTTTATTGAGTCCATTTCAGTGGACAGTGCGAACCTCTTTTTCGACTCAATTGTTGCAAATATAGATGGATTGTTCGGAAATGGTCTCGAGCTTGACTTGTCAACAATTTTTGACGGCCTCCTCTCTGATGTCCTCCTCAACCAACTGCTCCCGCTACTTGTCAACCTTCTCCAAAGCGTCTTGAGTGGCGGACTCAATCTCAACTAAAGCAAACAACCATGCGAAGAGTATGCATTCATCTTCTTCATAAATAAGTTCATATCATACTGATACAAATAGAATAGCCTACATGTACTCGCTAAGCTTCCACCACAGATTCAGCTGCTTCGAAGGGGTTGCCTGCCCTGCCTTTACCAGGTTTTCATAGAGCTTGTCGTCGTCCACAATCGGCAGCTCGTCAGGAGCCTCCAAAGTCCCCATTTTGTATAATCTGTATTCAGAGTCCTCCAAGATTTGGACTGTTCCTCTGTTGCGAGCAATCTCTGCTTCATTTCTAAACGAAACTTCGATAAGAATGTTTCTAATCACCTTCAAGTGCAGTAGCTCTAAGGCGCCTTCCACAGTGTTCAGTTCAAATCCTTCTACAGAAACCTTCAGAATAGCAATATCTGGCCTTGATTCACCAAACCAACCACGTTCTTCTGCAAACTCGTCGAGTTGCACTAGCCTTTGAGCGTTGCTGCCCATTTTTGCGACTAATCCAGTGTAGTGTCCCTGGTTGGGATGACCAAGCTCGCCCTTAAACTCGTAAAGGCCCCTCGCGTTGCCAACACCAAAGGGGATCACGTTTACCAGGGATGCTTCTTTTGGATTGTCATCGTAGTGCATATCGAACTCGCTATGCCACTGATTGATGTTCAGCGATTCACAAATCCGCAGTCGGTGGACTGGTTGCGGTTCAAAGACGTCGATAGCGACGGGCCCCAACGAAGCAGCCAGCAAGGTGAAGAAGCCAATATCACCCCCCACATCTATGACACGAATACCGGGTGGCGACTCGTGAAGGATTTGCGCTAGACTGGCTGTCAAGAACGATTGTGCAAAATTGCCTTTCTGCATGATGGCCCAGTTGGTAGTATCGAATTTGCCGTCGTGCATGCTGATGAAAAACTTTGGATCCGCTTGTACCTGCCGAATGTGCAGAACACCTTTGTTAGGGTCCTCGATTCCTGTTCTGTTTGTGTTGGCTCGATCCAGCAAAGCAGGGCATGAAGTTGGTTTGAACCTTCCGGTGTAGTTCTGGTGATACGATGTATCATGCCTCATCAGCCAATACTTGGGACCTCTGTTTTTGCTTGCACGCAGGGCGCGATGCTTGTGCGTAATTTCCAGCAGTCTCTGTGATGTTTCAGGAGCCGATGCCCAAAGAAACAAGGTTGAAATTACTGAAAGAAGAGCAAATAGGCGGGCCAGGCGGCTCTCCCTCCGTCTGGTTCGCTGAGCCCTTTTCCTTGCGATAGCTGATTGGCATCTTCCCAGATACTCTTTGCCCGTGGGATGGCGAAGCAAAGCTTTCAAAATCAGTTCAAAGATGGACGACAACATGGTACCAGCCAAAATATGCGTGCTCGGAAGAAGTGGAAAATTCTGAGAGACAACTAGACTACGGAGACAAAGATATGCAAATCTTGTGCAAATGACCGCGAATCAGGATGTGGTCCTCGATATCCTCGAGCTCGGGGCAGCCTTGCACTACGGTATCGGTACGGCACCATCGAGAATTTACAGCACCAAGAGCTATCCCAATCGGCCTGCCAACCAAGTCGTTTCAGGAAGTGGAGGTACTTGTACTGTTTCACTATATCGATATTTACTCCATATCTAAGCCATTTGTCTGGAGACCATCGAAAGGTTCGCTCCACGGCAGGTGCTCCGCTGAACTTCACATGTTTTCCACATAAATTCCCCTCCTCGACTCCCAATAACCTATGGCCATACCTTAGATTCCTTGCTGAGCCAACCTTAGAGCTAAGACTAGTAAACATGTCGTCTCCAAACGCAAAGCCTTTGAGTCCAAACCCCAAGAGTCCCTTCCTGAGCGGCAACCTGCAACTCTATCAAATCCACCCACAAGTTGTCACTCCATTGGGCAAAACCAAAACCCGTAGTCGAATGGATTCCATTACCTTCGCCCGCCATGTTTTGATTGGCTGTGGTCTCATGGGCTTTATCTTTGGGATTTCGAGCCTTGCAGGTTCGGAGGATCTTGATCAACCACCCCACCGCGCTCTCGCAGAGCTCCACCACACGCACATCCAGCAGCACGAACTCCACCTGAGGGGCAACGAAGCACTCGTGGAAGAAACGACGCCTCAGCCTGGAAACTACATTCCAGTGTCATGCCCGGGTGTCTTGGAGCAGATGAGGACTGGAACACTCGCGGTCAAAGACCCTAACAATGGCATTCTTCATGGCCGCCAAGTCGAACGAGACCCGAAGTTTTGGATATCGCTCCATACAAAAGAATTCGACAAGACAAGGTGGGATGTGATGGTATCGGGTGACTACTATAAACGTTCTCTTAGTGTGGCTTTTGTTGAGATTCTCCAAGACACTGCCCCTGGTGCACGTGTTTTGGATGTTGGTGGAAACATTGGTTACTTCACTCTACTGTCAGCGTCAAAGGGTCCTGTCATTGTTGGTAAGCAGCAGGTTGCTTATACTAGTACATGACCGTGCAATGCAGCTAATCCGTGGCCATCTGTCTCTTCGTCTCAGACGCCTTTGAACCAAACGCCAAGAATCGTCTTCGCTTCTGTGAATCTCTGAACTTGAACCAGTGGAACAGCGAGTTTGATGTTTCCATTATTAAGACCCCTGCTGCTGAACAATCAAAGGTCAATCTTTATCCGTTTGGGGTCGGGCGAGAAGATGGAATGTTCACATTTCAGGAAAACAGCAATCCTGGACAAGGGAAGTTTGGAAAGAAGGCCGAAGACGGCGAGGAGGGATTCCAAGTTGTGACCTTGGATGGGCTTGCCAAGAAACGTAACTGGTTTGAATCACGTCCAGATATTGCCCTGCTGAAAATAGCTGTAGAGGGACTGGAATACAATGTAATTCTTGGTGCTTTGGAATTGCTTCAAGCCCGCATGATTCGAAACATATTGATGGAAGTCTCCGCTAGGAATTCTGAAGAAATGGAACTCAACAAACCAGCCCTGGACCTTCTCATAGAAGCAGGTTACAAGCTCCACAAGGTTGGGGGCTGGAGAGGACCCGACAAGGATCTTGAGCTGGATCCAAACAAAGATGCTGCTGAGCAGATCATGGAGAAAACATTAGGAGAGAAGGCTCGACAGTTGAATCTATGGTGGACACTCTAGGGAGTCCAGTAGCTACATGCATCCAAACGTTTACTCGAGTATATCAACGTAGCTAGCGCGGACGCGACTTCATTTCAATGGTAGCTCTTGCAAAATACATGCCCACAACGTGCAGTGAAGGTGGTGGTAGTCACAGCCAGCTGGACGAGAACTACCGGTATACCAGGTAGCGGAAAACCCTGTCCAGACTACACTTTCATCTTTATAAGGCTTATTTGTTCAAATAGCGGTAGCTAGGCAATCTCAAAAGAACTGACAAGTTGACAAACACTTTGGCCGTTTTTGACACCACAACCTGGCTGTGGGTAGTCAGTCGTCCAACTTCCACCATAGGTTCAACTGCTGGGATTTCTCTTTCAGTGTACGTTGCATAACATGTTCTGCAATGTTGTCATCTTGAGGAAAACTGACATCATTGTTTGGACCTCTCCATGCCCCTATTTTGTGAAGCTTGTATCCACTCTGGAACACGAGTTTCAGTGCAGGTTTGTTAATTTCCATTTCCCATTTCTCCCTTGCAGAAACTTCCATAAATAGGTTTCGTATGATCTTAGCTTTCAACAACTCTGCTGCACCTTCAATCACACTGTACTCAAACCCCTCTACATCCACCTTCAGAATTGCAATGTCTGGACGTGTTGTGAACCAGCCGCGTTCCCTAGCAAAGTTGTCCAATGTGATCACATGCAAGGCGTTCCCATCTGGTGCCGTCCCTGGAAGTTGCTCGCTGACCCTTCCTTGTCCAGGATTAGAGTGCTCATGAAATGAAAACACTCCCTCCAACCTGCCAACGCCATATGGGTAGATGTTTATCTTGGACCGTTGCTTTGCGTCACCGACAAAATCCTTGTTAAATTCACTGTGCCAATGATTGAGAAAGCTTGACTCGCAGACCCGTAGACGATTCTTTTGGTTTGGTTCAAAAGTATCCACTACAACAGGCCCGTTAGCAGCTGAGAGCATTGTGAAAAAGCCAATGTTCCCTCCCACATCGATCACACGAGATCCAGCGGGAGTGTCTTTCAGTACCTCTGCGAACGCCCTGGACAGAGCTTTTTCATAGTACTCTCCGTAGTCCATCACATGCCACCTTGTTGGGTCAAAGCTCACATCGTGTAAACTGATCCAAAACTTTGGATACATTGGGCCCATTTGCACCGTCTTGCCATGGAGAACGCCTTTGTTTGGATCCATCTCACCGTTTCCCTCGGCACGAACCTCCTCGAGTGCAGCAGAGCAAGAAACTGGTGGGTACTTGTTGGTGGAAATGGAGTTCGTATCGTTCAACATAGAATGCCGATCCAAAGAGCCTTCCTCACTCATTCGTCGGATGGCATCGGCAACGAAGAACGGCTGAATATCGGCAGGACTGGTCAACGAAAACACGACGAAACCGCTCAAAAGAGCAAAGATGGAGCTCCCTGTCACCCACCATTTGGGGTTGCTTCCTCCTCTTTTTTTCAGTTTTGATGGTGCCATGGTTCAACACATACCGTACACAAATTTGTGAAGAGCAATGAAGCTTTCAAATGGCAAGGCGACTCAGAAGGGAGGGACAAAAATTGGAAAAGTGGCGTTGGAGGGACCAAGGCTCTCAATAACTCCCGCGCCCTGCACCAGCCCTGACATTTCTAGAGTTAGGGCTAATTTGATTGTTGATTCTTCCCTCATCTACAAGAAAACGTCGCTTCGGGCTACTAGTATGTCTACATGTCGACTGGTTGGTGGTGTCGTGGTGTCGCTTCGGCCTTCACCACCATGACACCATGACACAAGAATATTGCGCACAGCAAACAGCTATTGAAGTCAGGCAAGGAGATATTGCTATTCTGCAAAAGGAGCCCAAATTGGGGATGCACAAGATGCAGTGATACAAGATGCTGACTGGGGAATGGCCAGTCAGAACCGTAGAAGATTCAATACATGTTTTCCAAGACAATGGAAAAGTCAATAGGCTGTTCTCGCCACTGTTAGATTAATGATGCGATGATCCAATGATCACTTTTTAACCCCATCGGGTTTTCTTTCCCTTGAGCTCGCTTCCCGCCGAATCGGGGGATAAATTTCCTCTATCCGAAAAGGCGTCACTGGTAAGTTGCTCCGCGGTTGGCATTTGTTCGCCAATAGTGGGTATCCTTGTACGCTCGGCTCCGATTGTTTCCAGGTTTAGCGGCTCGATTTGTTGTTCCTGTATGGGTGGTAGTTCTGGCAGTGGTGGCGGCGGTTGCAGTGGCTGCGGGGAATGTTGTTGTCGATATTGAACTGGAAGATCTCGGAAGGAGGACGCTTGTTGGGATGTAAACCATTCATCGGCAAGCTTAGCACTCATGGAGGATTGCTCATTCTCCCACTGTCTGCTCGTCGCCAACTCCTGAGGGAAGCTTATGGGCTGGTTCGGGTTATACTGAACTGAACCATACGTCATTTGCCCTTCTTGGGTCTGTTGATTTGTCTGGAAACGTTCATACGTAGAGGCATGAAAGTCACGTTGCGCAAGGTCACAAGCGTGTGGGTGCTGCTGCTGCTGATCTTGGATGTAGACGTCACCTTGACCTGCACATACCGGTAGATTCGAATTTTGTTGTCCGCTTTCACCACCACCGGACGCAGCGGGATTAGCAGATGCAACCAACGGCCATGGTTGGGTCTGCTGCAGATGCGCCTGAAAAGGAAGCATTGAGGCATGAATGTCATATGGTGCAAGCTGAGAAATGTCAAAGTATTGCTGATGTTGGATGTAATTGTCAGCCTGATGCAACGCACATACCGGTATGTTTGAGCGCTGTTGGCTGTTCCCATCACCTCTAGACGCAGCAGGTTTTGCAGCTGCAACGAACGGGTTTTCCGCAGGGGCATCTTTCTTTCGTATTGCAGCCAGAAACTCATTAGTAGGTATTTGTTGCCGAAGAGTATTGAGTGCTTTCTTTGTGGCCGCTGCATCCCCAATATCATGCCACAGACTCTCGTCACCCTTTGATGGATCCGTTCTTTGCAGGAAGCGCCCTGGAGGGGTTTGGTTTCTCCATGATGCTACCAGCGCAGTTGCGAGTTGTAACCTCTCTGCCTTGATTGACTTCAAATATTCGTCTTTGAACTGGTCAACAAGCAGACGAAATTGTACGTTGCCTGTGTGTGTGGTTGAGTGGCCTAAAATATTGGAGAGGTGGGCAGCATGAGACCACGACGGAGAAGTGTTTCTTCAATGAACGTGTTACGAGATTCCTTTTCATACGACGTTGACCGCGCTGAACTTACCTCCTCTGCCACATATAACATCTTTGGGAGAAGGCAAGATGGGAAGACGCGGAGGCGTGAGGCGTGAGGAAACAACCCATGGCGGCAATGCTACAACGAGGTGCTAACGTACCGTGCTTTCCTGGGTACTTGATGCCCGACATGACTCCTTCTTGGTTATCATTCTGCATTCTTGTTCAGTTGTTGCTGCTGTTGCTTTGTTCCTATTGTGTGGGGTGAAGGCAACGACGTCGGCCCGAGTTAATTTGGTGGTTGTGTGCTTGGACCATTGGCATCTTTGTACGGTACTGTTGAGAAGAAAAGTAAGGATTGGCGGAAGCTTTGCATTCTTGGTGGAAGGTGGCTTGTGTTCCTGGTGGGAACTGTGTCTGGGCGGTGCAGAAAACCACTGGTTCCCACTGTCTTGTTCACTGTTCACTCCTTCCAAAACAATAGTTCTGAAATTGGGTTCGGTCACAGTGGCATGCGGAATCAAATCGTACCGTAATTTCCAAAGCAAGCCTTGATTTTGTTAGATTTTGTAGCGAGCTAGAGTACCATTGAATGAATCGAATCCGGAAAGCTAAAAATAATGAACCAATAATCAAAAATACTAGAAATCGGAATAAAACGGAACGATCAGAACTACAGCATTCTGGAACGACTACCGTAGCACCCCATGTCCCATGCTTTCAAGATATTTTGGGAGTTGAAGGTTCAGGAGCTTATGAGACGTCATCACCTAGACTCGTTAAGTCATTCTCAGAGTTCCTTGAAAATGATTCGATTCAAAAGGAACAAGACACGCGACCAGTTAGATATTTTCAGAGGTATTTCACGGCGTCTTGCTTCAATGAAGCTGGCTCCTGACTGCTGACCGTGCTGACTGCTGACTGATGAGTCACTCGCTATTTCATTCGCCTTCGTGTTGCGGTGCTGCAATGTGCTTTTTGTGGCTCCCAGCTCCCAGTGACGTCCCAACGAGCAACTCGAGCACTAATAAGCAGCTTCTTTTAAATTTTTTGTAACTCCTTTCCTTCATGCTTTAAAAAAGGTTCCCCATCAACACCGGCCCACCACCAGCACCAACTTTAACTTGCTAGACCTCGCTGGATCCCACATCTCTTCAAGACGTGTGACAAAAGAATTCATGTAGGATTGATGAAGCAGGAGAGACCAAGAAGAGACAACACAAATGAACCCTCAAGAGGTGAGGTTACAGACCTCGTGATTGGCCTGTCTGTACTTTCCCCTCAGTTGTCTCAAACACAGCCCAAACTCAAAACAAGCAGAGAGGCACGGCGTTTAGTTGTTTGAAATAGAAAGGTAGGCTGTGCACCAGCACCTGAGTGTGGTGCTCTACCCAGCCGAATGATGCGACCACAGCATGCCCGCAACAGATCATGATCATAACAGGTGCAGTCAACAAAATACAACATTGGCAGTTATTATATATTTAGTCTTTACGCTCGTCCTCACTATAGTTCATGGAAGTGGGATTACATTGCTTGTTGTTGCTGGTGATCATTCAAACGTTCCATTATTGAAAGATGGCTGCTCCAGAAACATCCTCCCCAACTCCAGCTTCTCGGCCTCAGTTTCGTTCCAGCATGGAGTTAGCGTCCAGAGCTCCATGTTGGTAATCTCAAAAAGTGAGCCATCCCGATGGATCATGGAGAGTGATGGGCTTCCAAACGTTACACAGGGTGAGCTGGTACCATGGAGGAGATCACTTTGCATTGCCAGGCCATATCCAAATTCAAAATCTTGGATTTCTTCTGGTTTGTCTGCGCTGTTGTCGTCGTCATTGTTGTCGTCACGTTTTTCCTCATCCAAGGGGTGCTCTGGTGAACCACCCCCAACAGCAATCTTATTGTGCGTACAAAGTTGAATGCACTGGTTCGCACCGGTGTAGGGGTAGACATCTATCTCACTCTCCATTTGTGCCTGGTCAATGATAGAATGGCACTTCGTCTTTCTTGAATTCCTCATGCGCCAAAGGAAGCTTTCCCCGGTGCCAAAGTAGTTCCAAGTTTTACGCCAGGGCTCTCCGGTGAACGCTCCGAACACTTCTCCGTCCGTGGTCTCCAGAGCTAGGACCGAATACTTGGCACCTCTTGCATGTTGCATCAGCGTATGCAGAGATGCGCCATCACGAACCATAGAATACTTCAACCAGAAGTTATCGTGGGTTTTCGAAGTTGGGAAGAAGGATTGTAGACTTTCCATCAATGGTGGAGATAGAACGTGCGGCATTGCATCGACATCTCTGGCACTTGTACCCAAGATTCGGAAAGGAAGCGTCCCTCCACCACCATACCTACAGAATCAGAAGTCGCAGAGGCGTGTTTAGTACAAGGCATCCAAGGGAGAATAAGCCCCCGCAAATCCAGCAGCGATTCCGTTCCCTACCCATTGATATACTCGTCTCGAATGGCATCCCACGCGTCATATTCTCCCACGACTGTATCCAGTTCCCAGGAATTGCTAGTAAGGTCTGCCGCAAAGTTCGTTGCATCGCTTTGTCCACGCGATAGTGGCTTGGGTTCTGGTGGTAGTTCGATAGTGAGTTCCAGTTCAAAAGTGATTTTTACAAACAAAGAAGGTCATTTTGAGTCCTACTTACTGCAGTGGGGCAGGAACAATGTCGAGAGCTCGTCTTCCGATATGCTACGCGGGAGCTCTCCTCGAAAGACCCCCCGGTAGCGATCGATGCGATCAATGCTTTTGCTTTCATCGAAGGATGCGCTCGCTTCAATGGTAACAATGCTTTTTCTTGATTCACCCCCAAATGAAACCAGACTACTCGGGAAATGACGGTACCCGTCCTGGCGGCGACGCCCTTCGGGCGACACTACCCTTTCACTTTTCTCCTCCCCCGGCAACTCTTCTCTTTGAACGTCAATCGGCATGTAAGGGTGGTTCGGTACCAGAATTTGAGTTTTTAGCTTCATTTGCGGTTCTTTTTCGTCCTCGGCGGGAGCAACCTCCATTCCTTCCTCGTCATATTCATTCTGACTGGCATGCCGAACAATAACTGGACGGGACACTCCTTTGGGTTTTATTATCATATCTTCATCCTCCATCTTCTTGTCTTCCCATTCATCGGGTGACACAATTCCTTCCCATTGCGACGCAACGATGGAAGCCGGCGACAGCTGCTGACGAAGCAACTCCTTGGCTTCTCGCCCCGTTGCAGTGGAAGCGATGGAATCTTGCCGAATCGGGCGAGCAGGATGCAATGAAGGAATACTGGTCAAAGACGTCCTTTGCAAAGAGGCAATGTCACTGACCGAGCTCAAAGCGGTGCCTGATGATGCTTCCCTTAATGTTTCGTTGTTTGCGTCTTTGATCGTCTGTTCAAGAGCTTCTCTCGCCACCCTGCCTGACGCAGTTGACATGATCGATTCTTCACCAAAAGGTTGACCTGGCGGGATACTGCGAAGAGAAGCTTCGAAGTCGGCATCAGAAAAGGCAGACCCAACGTTCCGCAGAACATCAATGGCGGCAGCACCACTGTTTGCAGCCAAGATTGGGTGAGCGTGGTGAAGATTCAGGGATGCTACACTTCCCATGCTCTCTTGACGTCCCCATGACGGTTTCAATATATCAGGCGCCGCCTGGAATTCGTTTTGAAGGGCTTCCGCAGCCTCCCATCCTTCAGCATTCGAAATTATCGATTCCTGACGGATTGGATGAGCTTTGTGTAGGGCAAGCGAAGTGACACTATTAGTGCTGTCCCGTCGACCCCAACTCTCCGTGGAGACTTGTTCTCGAAATGCTTCGAGAGCATCTGTGCCTTCGGCGGTGGATGCCATGGAATCTCGTCGCATTGGATGGGCTCTGTGCAATGTGAGAGACGCCAAGCTATTTGTGCTGTCACGTCTCCCAAACCTGTTGAGCGATTCCTGCCGAATGGGGTGTGCTCGGTGCAAATTGAGAGATGCAATGCTACTCATACTTTCTCGTCTCGCCCATCCGGTGGGCCGAAAGGCTTCTTCCACAGCACCGGACTCATCAGCCACAGTTACGGAATCCAAGGAATCTTGACGTTTGAATATGGACTCCTGTATTGGACCTGCCAAATGCAGATTCAAAGACGCAAGGCTGCACATGCTGTCTCGACGTCCCCACGCTGGTGCATCAAACTGCTTTTGAAAGGCCTCCATAGCATCTGCGCCACTTCGCGTAGATGCTATAGATTCATGCTGAATGGGTCTCGCTAGGTGCAGGTTGAGAGACGCATTGCTATCCCGACGACCCCAGTTTCGTGAAACGTTGGTTGCTTCAGGCGTTGGCGCTACCGGTATCGACGCCAGATCTCGCAGGAAAGACTTGCATGCCTCGATTCCATCGACTGCAGTGGTGTTGGGTTGAAGTGGGCGAACAGGACGAGTTGCTAAATGCATGAGGAGCGGTTCAGCACTGTTGTTGCCATAAGGAGTGTACTGGATTTCAACAGGCGTTGACAATCCCTCTTGAAAGGCTTTGGAGGCTTCCCATCCTTCCACTGTTGACCCAATCGAGTCCTGGCGAATAGGCTTTGCCTGATGAAGGTTGAGGGATGCAATACTAGCCTGACTGTCACGACGGCCCCACTGAGGAATACTGTTCACCGAGAGAGTGCTCACATCGCTGACTCGCTGCTTGTTGTCGGCCTCTCTAAGCACTTCTTCAACCGGATGCTCCGAACCAAACGTAGTAGCAGATTCATCCATTTCAGTGGAACCTACCGATGCAACATACGGCAAGATTGAAGCAGTATGTGACGTTCCTTCTTCGTTCACGGTTGCCTCGAGTTGCTTCTTCAATTCGTCCTGAATCTGAAACGAGACAGACTTGCGCGAACTATCCGAGGTCATGCGTCGAAGGGCACTAGGGCGTCTAGTGACGGCCGCGCCACCATCGGACACCATGCGTCTCATGCCATTGGGTGCCACGGGAACTCCACTTGAGGCGGTCGGTAGGACACCGATGCTCTTGGTCACAAGTGGTTCCTTGTTGCTGGTGCTACCAGCCGCAGCAAAAGGCCGTGGTGGTGGAGGACGTTCTGAGACGGACCATTTCTGGGGTGTTGTTGTTGTTTGCTGCTTGGCGGCAAGAGATCGCCGAAAAATTTCTTCGTCCGTCGGCAAAAGCAAGCTTGTAATATCCTGTGTATCGATCGTTGTGCTGCTATCGGTGGATGCGTTTTGCAATTCCATGGCCATTGCCCTGTAATCCTGTTGGTGCAAGTGTCGCCATGGCGGAAGCATGTGAAAGGATAGGAGTTCTGCTGTGGAAATTTGGTGGCTTTGAGTTCGGGAGTGCCGTTGCTTGATCTTGCGAAGCTCTTGAGGATTCAGCAGAGACCTCCCGTAAGGATCTGCAGTGGCCGCGTTGGCTCTGTTGGACAACGATATGCCGCCACTCCTGCTACTACTGCTTCGATGTGACGACACAGTAGAGTATCGTCGAAGGGGCGACGCGGCGGACAAGGATTGTTCTCGCCGCATAAGAATTCGTTTCGTTGATTGCTGTGGTGTAACTACCAACCCTTGTTCGTGTGCTACCCACAGTTGATCCACCATTGGATTGCTGGATCGACGGCTCAAAACCGCAGGCCGCAAGGTCGAACGGCCAGCAGTAGTATTGCTTGCTGCAGGCGTCTCCAAAGTGTCGTTGAGAAAGAGTGGATGGTCAATCGCCGGAATGGGCAAATGGGCTGCACCTCCCAGGTCCCTTGAAGGTCTCAGATTCTGCACTAGTGGTGTCTTTTCAAACTCGGACAACGACATTTGCCTATTGTCAGCTGAAGCCCCATTAGCAATCAGCATTCGAATATCTGGATACAGCTCTTCATGGCTTGGTATGGTCAGCGTGGCTTGATCACGATGAGGCGACATTGGAATTGGTGTGGGAGGTGGCTTGCCTTGACCAGTGGCACATGTATCGATACTAGCATCCACGTCAAAACTGCCATTGTCCATAGACAAGGTCAGCGTAGGTTCTAGCAACTGCAAGTGCGCCAGGTCCGCAACGGGGGGTGACTTTGGTTGTTGTTGCTGCCGTGTTTGCTGGTGTTGTTGCTGGAGTGTGCTAAGGGATCCACTGCTGAGAGTACGGTCTCCACTAGCACTCTCCTTTCCCGGATGAACACCGTCTTCCGATGCTGTCGTGACACTCTTACTGTTGCTGCCTACTACATTTTCTTCGTCATCTTGCGCATCAAACCCAAGGGAAGGGTCATTGAGTTTTTGCTGGACCAGCAGCACTTCCACTTCCGTTCCATTGGCGACAATGCCTTGTAGAAAGTTGAATTCACTGCTGGTGAAGGATCTCCGACGCCGCGAAATTTCTCGTCGAAGACCATCTCGCGAAGAATCACTCGCTGCACTGACATTGCTTCCGAAGGATGCCACTCGCTGTGTGGGCGTCGTGGCAATGGCGGCTAAAGCTGCCGTGGATCGAGTCAAATGATCGGCGAGTGGCGGATTGTGGGATGCCAAGGGGACTTTGGGAGGCAAGCTGGGAGGTCGAGCCGTGTTGGCCATGATGAATAGAGGGAGCTCTGGCTAAAGATAACTACTAGATGGCAGCTGTTGTGTTGTGTTTCTTTTCCTTTCGGGATTTTTTGTCAAATAACGTGGCGTCAACACGGTGTCAATCGTACATGTATTGTGTGTCAACCCAAAAGAATTTCGAACAGAATGGAACCCTGCCTTCGGGTTTCCAGCAGGTGCGTTGCGTCCTCCACCTTTGCTGGTTCTGATGGGTCTTCCTTCCCTACAATAAAGTTGTATGCAGCAAATTCGTCAATACTCAGGACTTTGTTTCTTGATGTTGCGCACTCTCGGTGTCCATTGTCAGTCTGGCCGATTGTTGGACAAAAATTCGTTGGAGATGCCACCTTGGTTTGTCCTAAACAGGGCATAGTGAGCGTTAGAATGGGGTTAAACTATCCGCCTTTTGGCGGCATCTAAAGGAGCTGAACAACGAAAGGGTTCGGGCTTTGACACGGTAAAACTAAGTGCCGTACTGGTATGTGTCAGGGAGTGCTTCAAGTGGGACTGATGAACTGTGACATGCATGCTCGAAAGTCGACCGTCAAAACATGAGGTGAGATTTTTACTGCTCCGATTCTGATTGGGCTTGTTGTCTATGCATAGCTATAATAGGTAGTAGCAACGAAGATCAGAACAACTCTTCGAACGTTCATCACATTCATAATAGAGAGGGTCCCCTGGATCGCCGCAAACTCCTTCCACCCATTTTCCATTTTCACATGTCCAGTAGTAGCCACATACAACCGACACGGCCATCTTGTATCCTTCTTGTGACGGTAGGCATGCCTTAGGATTCTCCTGCAGGTCTCGACCACGAACAGCACCAGGGGAGGAAGAAACCTCTTGAGACCAAGATAGTGTCATGATGACAAGGGAGATGGAAGCAGCTTTCTGGAGTAATGTCATGGTTGTTGGTAGTGGTCTCCGTTGTTATAGTCTAGATAAATGTTGGTTTTGTATGTTGTTTTGTTTGTGTTGTGTGTTCAAAACGATGGATGTTGGTAATGTGAGCCCTCCACACAGACGACCAGCCAAAGTGGCCAGCACCCTGCACGGAGTAGTTTGCTCACAGCTCTCTCTAGATCTACCTAGTCAGCTGTGCGTACCGTACTAGCTAGCTGTCGTCGCTGCATATCTGAATAGCTGTAGCAGCATAGAACATACATAGAAGTAGCGCAGCGGTACCAAGTCTGGACAAAATCGGCACATTTCACTCCTGCATAGGTTACTGACACGCTGAATGAGGCTACTAGTAATGACTAGTCGAGTCGGCTCAACTCTGCCGCTCAAGTGCATCCAATGTTAGTACGTATAGTGCGGTTGGCAACTCCAGAACCACTTGTGGATATACTGGTACACGGGGGCTAGACTACTGTACTTCACTTCGGCGCTAAAGCAATTATACCGTACCAGCCACTACTACGGAGCGATTGCTTCCTCGAGAACAATTGATCTTTCCGTCAAATTCTCACCAGCGCTGAGGAAGAGAATTGTAGCAGTGCTAAAGAGAAATTCACCTGCATCAGACCGGCGCCTCACCAGTACGGAGAGGAAAGCACACACCAGTGGCACACAACTCATTTGTGCTGTTGTTGCTACAATGAGCTAGTACATGTAACTGTCCACTAAGTTGGCTGCATTTACGTTCATTGAGTGGTGGGTGCGTGGACTCGACTCGATCGACTCCTCTGGCACAAGAAAGCTGAGGTAGGTGCGGTAAATATCACGAATAGAATCTTCAGAGTTACAATAACGTTGACCCTATATTTACCTCAACTACGGTTATGTTGCTGGCTGCCTGCACGGATTACACTTTGGAGAGCTGATTTCTGGATCCAAACTCGCAATTAACCTATTCAATAATACGGTAAACCAATTGCTCCAATGCCGTGCCGATCCTCGCAAGATGTTGACTTGTGGAGGACGCGTGTTTTTGTGTTCGCATTGCTTCCCGACGGACTCCACTCCACTCGACTATCCTCTTTGCAGGTGCCTGAAATAATGGCGAGGATGAGACTGAAAAATGAGGCAAGCGCCATCGCGTGGTTGGTGCGTGATACGGATACCGTACTCAGCCTCTGTAATAACAAGGCGTGCACTAGCTAGTAGACCTACTGTAGCTAGCCAGCCAGGGGCCACTGGAGCCTCGACGATTATCTTTCCCAGCGGCGCCCCAAGATTTGGCGGTCTTCACTTTTCTTGTTTCCCCAGGAGGTTCACAACTGCTTTTCTGTCATTAATTCAGATTTTCAGAAAGAATTTGGATATCACCGTACACTGGCTAGTCTATGATGTGTGATTCTACAATGGTCAGATATTGCATGGTGATTCTTGGAAGCCTTGCCGCCATGGCATCAGCCCAAGACATTTGCATGTCCCCTACAAGCACATTCACCGTCAAGGTCAACCTGTTTGCATCCGAGCTCGGTACGTCCAGACAATACTTGTTTTGATTCAAGGAGATATTATCATCTGAATGAATGAAGTTGCGTACAGTATTTGATGTCGTGCCATCACTCATTCACATCCAATCTTGAACAGGGTACTATGCATTCGAGGAATGTGGAGATGTGGTCAACCCAACTATTGGGATGGAAGTTGGCGAGACCTACACATTTGTTCAAGCGGACAGGAGCAACTACTTTCATCCCATGGGCTTTTCGTACTTCCCAGATGGTGCTCATGATGGCGTGGATGAGCTCGAACCTGGCATTGGCTTGGGATCAGATGCGTCTTGTGCGGAGACCCTCAGTTGCCCTGCTCCCATGTATTTCTTGAATGATGATTATCTTGGAAATTACTCCAATATTGAAGAAGTCTTACCTGTGTCTACTGGGGCGGAAGACTTTGGTCTGGATGCCTACGAGCCCTTGTTCTTCCGTAAGTGACTGCCCTTGCTGGGAATATGAACCACGACATTGTGGCTGCCAGCTCATAACATACTTATTGTTGCTTGTCTGGACACTACACAACACACCTCCGCCAGATCCCATGCCTGAGTGGGTGGGATATGGAGAGTTCAGCATCCAGCTGCGTTTCGATGATGAAAGCTACGACAAAGACATCTTTTATTTCTGCCATGTAAGAATGAATCAACTTTCCAACTCAACACGACCGCAGCAATCGACCTTGGCTCACTCACAACAAACATCCTTCCCTTCCCTTGTTTCCAGATTCATCAGTTCATGTCAGGTCGTATCAAGCTCATGAAGAATGGAGAACTAGTGTCCCCTGAAGATGAACCTCCTTTGGGATACACTTATGATGAGCCAGGTGCATTTGATGAAACCTGTGGAACATATGGCTTGGATGCATTCCAGCTCCCACACCCAGAGTGTCCTTCCACCTTTGTGTGTGATGCGGGTCCAGAGAACCAACCCTTTGCTTCGTGCATAAATGCAATGAATTGCCACATGGTTGTGGGTAAGTTATGGGGATGTGACAATGGCCCATTTGGTGATTTGCTTCCAGTTGACTGCGTATTCTGGAGCCAAACGACTCACCTCCGATTACCCCTTGAACTTGCACAGGTATGACTACGGGGGTGAGCAGTGAGAGCAATTTGGCCTTGTTTATCCACCAAATGATCCCCCATCATCAGAATGCAGTCAACATGGCCAAAACCTTGCTACTGACGGGCGATGTTCCCTGTGAGGACTTGACCAATGATGAAGATCCATACTGTGTCATGCAAGTTATCTTGCGCGAAATTGTCAATGGTCAAAACTTCCAAATCCAAGCCATGCGAGGGCTCTTGGAAGCTCTGAACCTTCCCGCCACAGACGACTGCACTGTTCCTGTTGCTATTGATGGACTTGATGGCTTGGGATCAATAGTGGAAAGGCAAAATCCTCCGCCCATCGAAGATAGCGAAGATGGGGCTGCTCCTGTCGACCGTGTCGGCGGACCATTCCGCCGTCGGGTCTAGGTTTAGTCTACATCATGCATGTCTACCAGTAGCTCACTTCTTGGGCTTGGGAGAAAGCATCTGCGTTCCATGACTGCAGTTTGCAACCAGGAAGCAGGATCATGTTGCGGTTCTCCCGTTCCAAGATTCCCCACGGGACTTTCTTTGTCGCGTCACTGGTACAAACCTGCGAATACATGTAGTATTTTCCAACTAGTATTTTATATCCAAGTCCTGTGCTATGGTAATAGGTTGCCAGCCAGTACGAGTAGCTACCGGCCGAATTTGTTTGCACTGGTCCTTACTGTAGCAGGCGAAAGAACTGGTCATCGATGAGGTGCACGGTGGTAGATATTGTCTGCTTGGACGGTACCGGTACCTGCTACTCTGCTGCAAGCAAGAGCTAACATGCAAATAAATATACCGGTATGCACATGTACCGGTACAATCAAAAGTGCCAGACAATGACGACAGGCTGCAAAGGCCACTATGTGAAGCGAAGTCCTTGAACAAACAAAAAAGAGTATGGTACTACAAGCAGATGCTACTAACTACTTTGTAGCTTTAGAAAGGTACAGCCGTACCATAGACTGATGGAGGAACCGGACGACGTCGTGAATACCCGTACATGAATCGGTGATCGGGGGCCCCTTCAGCGTCTGTTGAAGAAAACTACAATGTACTAGTATGCAAATCAGAAGGGTTCTCGCATCACCTTCATGCAGCCCAAAACAGCATCTTGGCGCAAGTGTCAACCGGTCAAAACCGGACATCAAGAAGCCAACGGACAAGGCTTCGTCGAGGTTTCCGATGAAAGCTCTTCCACCTGGCTCCATTTTTTAATAAATTCATCCATTCATGAAGGGTACAAATACCTGTGTCGGATTTGATGACGCGCCACATCGCTAAAATTTTATCGTAATTAACGAGCCGAAGCCGACGCAAAGAAGGAGATTAGGCTGCATGCCGATTCTCGTGTAAATGTGTTGGCACATCGCGTCCAATCGCACCGGGACAGGTTCCCACTGCCCACACCACAAGCTGCTTGGCCGTTGCTTTTGGTAGCAAACCAGATCTTTGACAAAGAGCGGTACAAGCATCTCGGGATGCCAGATAATTCACCCCATTGTACCACTGGCTCTAGCTAGCTAGCTAGCAAGTAGCTTCTCTACCGGTACGACCGCAGCCAGTTGCGGCAAGATCCTGTACCAATTGCAGGGGCGTCAATCCCAAGTGGCGTTCTGTTCTGCAACAGTCCAGTGGTTTGGATTTGGCCTTTCAACCTTTTCTCACAATTTTTGCGACCTTCTCACCCACGAACTTCTTGAGTTTTTCTTGCAAAGAGCAAATAATAATCGATTGACCATGATGATGAGTGTTTCTGTTGGACAAGTCGAGAAGCCGGCGAATTGCAGTCGGGAGGAATTTCGCAAGGAACTGAATTTGCGCCGAGCTTCTCTCACTCCCCAAGAGCTTGGTTTCTTGAACAATTTGGTCGATGATGGCACAGAAGATGACATCAAGAAGGCTACCAAGCGATTGTCAGATCCGTATCTCTTTTCAATGGATGAAGACTCCTCGGATGACGATGCCGACGACGAAAGGGAAGAGAAAAGCGAAAAGGACGAGGAAAACAAGGACAGTCCACCGATTTTGGAAAGCAAGAGCAGCAATGGAGATATCTCCACTGCCTCTGCGATCGGGCAAGAGGGCTCAGCCCGTCGTCGTGAGCTCTTGGAGAAGCGTCGCGGCTCCGTCTTTCACAGCCAAATTTGGAAGGCTCATGAAGGAGGCTTGGCCGTCAGCAAACAATCTTCCCGTCGTTCTCTTCTCGTCCGACAGGGATCTTCGTTTGCCCTCCGACAAGGTCAAGAGGGAAGTGACGCCTTTTCTCGGCAGTCCTCCAGACGTTCCCTCATGTCTCGAGGACCAGAGGTGTCTGCTAACTTTTCTCGTCAGTCATCCCGCCGCTCACTGATGTGTCGATCAGGATCCTCCTTTTCCCTCCGAAGCTCCACTCACTCCATAAGAAGATCCCAAAGGCGCCAGGATTCCTTGGCTTCCCTTCGCTCTATTTCTGCGAGGGGCAATTTGGGCGCTCTCTCGGACTCGGACCCCGACCTTGACAGTGACGACAGCGACGATGATGATGACAAAGAAGAAGAAGAAGATTTGGACAGGAGTGCCGAAACCTTTGGTTCGGCACCCACTGAAGCCGCCAATCGAATGCTTCCACCCTTGCCTACTGGAGGACGTCGCGATATGTTGACCAAATCGGGCTCCTATCGTCGAGTGACCGTCGCGGGAGGTGCCCGCACCGTGCAGAAACGCCGCAGCAGCACCCTCAGTGCCGGAAGCAGGTCGAGGAGACACACCTTTCAGTCGCAACGCTCTACGAGCAGCAACCTCGTGGACATTCCAGAGGAGAAACCAAGAGTGCAGCTCAAGAAGCAAATGTCCCCGCCTTTGTGGGAAGGAATCACCATCCCGGAAGAAGTGGAGGACAAAAAAATGAGTGATGAGGATATGGCAGAAGCTGCAGCAGCAGCAGCAGCAGTAGCAGCAGCCTCGGAACCCTTGTGGCAACAATGTCTTCAAACGCGACGAGCATCCGCCAGCAGCTACGAGGGAGAAGGAATTGAAGTGGGCGTATTCTTGGAACACGAAGAATGTGACGAGGAGGAGGAGGAAGAAGAAGTCATGAGTGAGTTGGAGACAATGGATGATGCAGACGAAAAGGAAGCTGAAGCGGAAAGAGCTCGCCATCATACCATGGTTATGCGTCGGGCTTCCGTAAACCTATACAACGGTGTCGGGATGGAGATTTCGGACTGGGACGCCCAAGAGGAAATGGAAGGACGCCGAAATTGCTTGGAAAAGTACCATCCCAGCGTTGTAAATGACAGTGTTCACACATCGGCATTCTTTGCGCAAGCTGAAGAGCCAGCTCTCCTCCAAAAAAGTGCTACCTTTGACGAAACCCAGAGTGAGGATCGCGACGTCGGCTTCCCTGAAGTGGAGGAAACCCTTGCTACCATTCAACGTTGTTATTCGGAAGATGAGCTCGCATCGACGCTCGCCGTGAATCGAGGTAAGTGAGGCTCCGTCACAGATTTTTTAATTTTTTTTTGCGGGGCAACTCACTCGTATCTACTTCACAATGCGCAACCAAGAACGGCGAGCTCTACGACGCGAAAGTGGTGCGACCCTTTCCACAGAGGCATCGGATGAGGAGGCCTCCTTTGACAGCTTCGAATACGATGCATGGTTAGACTCGCCGGAAATGGGCAGAAACTACGTGCAAAAGTTGCCGTTCCGCATTTTGGGAACCAGTGCTGAGGACGTCGATTCCCAGCCGCACGTGTTATCTCCACCATTAATGGAGAGCCTACAGTCTTTCTTCCCCTTCTCGAAGACCAGTGACAACTTTTGGATGAAATACAGCATGGTGCGGGACGGTGCATCTCTCCATACTTTCTTGCAGCATGCTCGTGGATCCAAACATACTATTCTTGCCATTGAGACAGTCGATGGTGAAGTGTTTGGATCCTTCACCAATGAACCTTGGAGGAAGACATGGAGCTACTTTGGGGGTGGTGAATCTTTCTTGTGGAGGTTGCGCAACTCCCGCAAGAACAAATGCCATTCTATCATTGATCAGGCAAATTTGGAATCAGAGATTGATGTCTACCCCTACACGGGTGAGAACCATTGCATCCAGTTCTGCACGACCCGACAAATCGCCGTCGGAGGAGGATCTCCTGATCAGGCAAGCACCAGCATGACAAACATTCCAGAAGGTTCCGATGGCGGTGAAGTTCAGGAACACGAGTGGGGCTTTGGCATTTCATTGCAGAGCGACTTGTTGCATGGCTCTACTGCGCCTTGTGTAACCTTTGGCAGTCCATCCCTCTCTTCCGTTCACAGTGATGGTTCGTTGTTTGAGATTATCAACATTGAGCTTTGGGCCATGACTCCAGCTTTCAATGCAGAAGATGCAGAGAAGCTAGAGCTGAGCAAGCTATTCTTGGAGGAACATTCTTCGACCTCCTTCAATGCAGGTCAGTCGACCGACAGTCTGAACGCATACTACAGCTAGGGAGTTTCACAAAACGGGATCTCTTATGTCTTGGAATGGTTTAGTGGCGCTTCCTCTCCCAAGCTTTGTTTCCAATACACATGTTTCACAATAAGTATTTGTTACTGCATAGGATCATCTTCGCTTCATAGTGTGATTTGCCACGCCCGGAGGTACCGATATCCGATAACCTACATTATCTAGGCGAGCCAGGTATTTTGGCTCCTGTTGATTGTGACTGATACCCGGGCCCGATGGAGGTGTCTGCTATTAGGCACGTCCTGGCTGGAGATCGATGGCGCCACGTCTCGTTTCTATCAGCCTACCGGACGAATTCTCTACTTCTTGGCGCTGGTGTGGGCGGTCTTACGGACCGGTACGCACCATTCCTGCAAGTTATTATTGGCCACGTTTTTGTCTTTGATCTACCTTCAGCACCAGAAACCTCGTAGAGGTATGGTGCAACAAAAGGATTGCCCACCACCGCACGGCATTTGACAGCACTCCCCTACCGGTATCGAACAGCTGTGGGTTCAGCAGGCCACAGGTTGAGTTCTTCATACCGGTACGGTACGTCCCCTTGCAGTTACGAATTTCTGCATTTTCTTGCAAGTTTTTGGTGGAGTGCAGGCACAGCTACCCAAAGTTACGTTTTGCTTGGTGAGATTGCCCCCAATGGTCTCAGCAGTGAACAAAACTGAAAAGAACGGTAACAGACCAAAACACACTGTAGCCCCGGATCCCAAATTCCGCCTCTTCTTTGACTAAGCCCGGCCAGGGGCCGGCTGCAGTAGACTACGGTATATCTTTCCTGCTCTAAAACCCCCTTCGTCCACTGCTAACTGAGTGACAGTCCTGAAGTTGCCCCATACAGTCGTACCGTACTAGCTAGCTAGCTAGTATCGTACGTACGGTGCCCCCCCTACCGGTATGTACGGTATGTTTCACTGGACAAGACGCCATATTTTTCACGAATGAAGCCAGGAAAGCTGCGCCACCCAGTCATTCTGAAGACTGCAGCCACTCCCTCGACACTCGAGGCATTTCCTGTACCGCAGATCCGTAATAACAAGACCCGCCCCTTCGTCCTGATTCTTCTCCTGCAAGGACTATTATTAAACTTGAACGACCGCCTATTGTTGAACTTCGACCAACTCCTGGCTAGCTAGCTAGCTGATAGCTACCACTCTGCTTTTTTCGGACTAAGATGGATGACAACGGAAATTTCGCCGCTGACGGCGGCCCTCATGGAACATCAGACGATGACAACGGGCTTCCCCAATCCAGTGGTCGTTCCGCGAAAAACCAGATCGATCGAGGCTTGGAATCTGTTTCCGAAAATGAAGCTGCACATGGCAGTGCGCCATCGGAATATCCTGGCAGCAGCCATAGCCACACAATGAGGCGCATGGAAGAAGATGTTATTGCCAAGCAGAGAGCAGCTGCTGGTCGCTCACCAGCTGGAGCCAACCCCGTGAGACCGGGAGCTGTACCCGTCGCAGGTGGAGGAGAACGAGGTGTTGGCAGTGGCAACCTGAGCAATTTGGAGCAAGATTTGCTAGCGAAACAGCGCGGAGCTACGCCCATGGTTTCCAGGCCTGGAGCCGTGGCAGTTTCAAGAGGCCATCAAGGAGAAGGCAATATTAACCAGATGGAGCAAGATATCTTGGCAAAACAAAGAGGAGCTGCACCTCAAATTCAACAATCTAGGCCTGGAGTAGTAGCTGTTCGAGGCGGCGGAGAGATGAGTCAAGCGGAGCAGGACATTATGGCAAAACAAAGAGGAACTTCATCCCGATCCGTGATGTCTAGACCTGGTGCCGTATCAGTTGGACCAGGGGCTTCAAATGAAGTCGGTGGAAGTGGCCAAATGAATCAGATGGAGCAAGATATTTTGGCAAAGAAACGAGGAGCATCATCTCATTCCTTGATGTCTACTAGGCCAGGTGCCATGGCAGTTTCAGGAGAGCCGGGCACACCTGCTGGAGGGCAAATGAGTCAAATGGAGAGGGACATTCTGGCTAAGCGAGAGGGCGCTTCCTCTAGATCCTTGATGTCCAGACCTGGTGCTGTATCTGTGCCAGCGAATGCAAGTGCAACTACGGGCCAACACCAGATGACTCAGATGGAGAAGGACATCTACGCAAAGCAGCAGGGAGCCTCCTCGCGTTCACAGATGTCCAGGCCCGGTGCCATGGCTGTGCCAGGAACCAGTCTACACAGTGGCAGCAGTGGAGGGTTGAGCCAGATGGAGCAAGACATAATGGCAAAGCAAGAGCAGCTGGGCCTAGGACTTGGGTTCCCCCAGCCAGGAGCATGGCGTAACGGACAAAGCATGCACAGTACGGCCAGTGGCAGTGGAGGCTTGAGCCGGATGGAGCAAGACATAATGGCAAAGCAACGAGAGCTGGGCCTAGGAAATGGGTTCGCCCAGCAGGAGCCATGGCTGTAAGTGGCCAAGCATGCACATACAGTCAGCACAGTGGAGGGTTGAGCCAGATGGAGCAGGATGTATTGGCAAAGCAAAGAGCAGCTGGGCCTAGGACTACAGGTGCCGCCCAGCCAGGAGCCATGGCTGTAAGTGGACAAAGTATGCACAGCACAGCCAGTGGCGGTGGAGGCTTGAGCCGGATGGAGCAAGACATTATGGCAAAGCAAAGAGCAGCCGGGCCTAGGACTATGGGTCGCCCAGCCAGGAGCTGGCTGTAAGTGGACAAAGTATACACAGTACAGTCAGCAGCATTGGAGGGTTGAGCCAGATGGAGCAAGACATAATGTCAAAGCAACGAGCAGCTGGGCCTAGGACCATGGGATCCACCAGCCAGGAGCCATGGCTGTAAGTTCCCCAAGCATGCACAGTACATCCAGTGGCAGCGGAGGCTTGAGCCAGATGGAGCAAGATGTGTTGGCAAAGCAAAGAGCAGCTGGGCCTAGGACCATGGGATCCACGCAGCCAGGAGCCATGGCTGTAAGTTCCCCAAGCATGCACAGTACATCCAGTGGCAGCGGAGGCTTGAGCCAGATGGAGCAAGATGTGGCAAAGCAAAGAGCAGCTGGGCCTAGGACGATGGGTTCCGCCCAGCCAGGAGCCATGGCTGTAAGCGGACAAAGCATGCACAGTACAGCTAGTGGCAGTGGAGGGTTGAGCCAGATGGAGCAAGACATAATGGCAAAGCAACGAGCAGCTGGGCCTAGGAACATGGGTTCCACCCAGCCAGGAGCCATGGCTGTAAGCGGACAAAGCATGCACAGTACGGCAGTGGCAGTGGAGGCTTGAGCCGGATGGAGCAAGACTTAATGGCAAAGCAACGAGCAGCTGGGCCTAGGAACATGGGTTCCACCCAGCCAGGAGCCATGGCTGTAAGCGGACAAAGTATGCACAGTACAGTGAGCAGCACTGGAGGCTTGAGCCAGATTGAGCAAGATGTGCTGGCAAAACAAAGAGCAGCTGGGCCTAGGATTATGGGTTCTGCCCAGCCAGGAGCCACGGCAGTAAGAGGACAAAGTACACACAGTACAGTTGGCGGAGGGCTGAGTCAAATGGAGCAGGATGTGTTGGCAAAGCAAAGAGCAGCTGGGCCCAGGACTATGGGTTCTGCCCAGCCAGGAGCCATGACTGTAAGCGGACAAAGTATGCACAGTACAGCTAGTGGCAGTGGAGGGTTGAGCCAGATGGAGCAAGACATAATGTCAAAGCAACGAGCAGCTGGGCCTAGGAACATGGGTTCCGCCCAGCCAGGAGCCATGGCTGTAGCGGACAAAGTATGCACAGTACAGCTAGTGGCAGTGAAGGGTTGAGCCAGATGGAGCAAGACATAATGGCAAAGCAAGAGCAGCTGGGCCTAGGAAATGGGTTCGCCCAGCCAGGAGCCATGGCTGTAAGCGACAAAGTATGCACAGTACAGTGAGCAGCACTGTAGGCTTGAGCCAGATGGAGCAAGATGTGCTGGCAAAACAAAGAGCAGCTGGGCCTAGGACATGGGTTCTGCCCAGCCAGGAGCCACGGCAGTAAGAGGACAAAGTACAAACAGTACAGTTGGCGGCACTGGCGGGCTGAGTCAAATGGAGCAGGATGTGTTGGCAAAGCAAAGAGCAGCTGGGCCCAGGACTATGGGTTCTGCCCAGCCAGGAGCCATGGCTGTAAGCGGACAAAGTATGCACAGTACAGCTAGTGGCAGTGGAGGGTTGAGCCAGATGGAGCAAGACATAATGTCAAAGCAACGAGCAGCTGGGCCTAGGAACATGGGTTCCACCAGCCAGGAGCCATGGCTGTAAGCGGACAAAGTATGCATAGTACAGCTAGTGGCAGTGGAGGGTTGAGCCAGATGGAGCAAGACATAATGGCAAAGCAACGAGCAGCTGGGCCTAGAACTGTGGGTTCGGCCCAGCCAGGAGCCATGGCGGTAAACGGACAAAGCATGCACAGTACGGCCAGTGGCAGTGGAGGGTTGAGCCAGATGGAGCAAGACATAATGGCAAAGCAACGAGCAGCTGGGCCTAGGAACATGGGTTCCGCCAGCCAGGAGCCATGGCTGTAAGCGGACAAAGTATGCACAGTACAGTGAGCAGCACTGGAGGCTTGAGCCAGATGGAGCAAGACATAATGGCAAAGCAACGAGCAGCTGGGCCTAGGAACATGGGTTCCACCCAGCCAGGAGCCATGGCTGTAAGCGGACAAAGTATGCATAGTACAGCTAGTGGCAGCGGAGGGTTGAGCCAGATGGAGCAAGACATAATGGCAAAGCAACGAGCAGCTGGGCCTAGAACTGTGGGTTCGGCCCAGCCAGGAGCCATGGCGGTAAACGGACAAAGCATGCACAGTACGGCCAGTGGCAGTGGAGGCTTGAGCCGGATGGAGCAAGACATAATGGCAAAGCAACGAGCAGCTGGGCCTAGGAACATGGGTTCCGCCCAGCCAGGAGCCATGGCTGTAAGTGGCCCAAGCATGCACAGTACAGTCAGCAACAGTGGAGGGTTGAGCCAGATGGAGCAGGATGTATTGGCAAAGCAAAGAGCAGCTGGGCCTAGGACTACAGGTGCCGCCCAGCCAGGAGCCATGGCG